GGGTCAAATGGATCATGTCCTTGGCAGGTATTGATACCTCCATATTTTCTCCTCATTTGGTTCGCGGTGCCAGGGCCTCTAAAGCCTCCTTTGCGGGTTGTCGCTTGGAAGATATATTGAAGGCGGCTGATTGGTCCGCACAATCTACTTTCCGTAATTTCTATTTCAAACCAATCCAGCATTTCGCAGAAGCCGTGATATCACAGCTTTGAAATAGCATAATAGGACCCTCCGGGTCTTTAAATAAACACTATAGTCACCTAAATTACTTTAGCTAAATAAAGCAGTTTTAGTGTATAGATCATTCCCCTGCAATTTCACTGCTCAATTCACTGTCATTTAGGAGTTAAATCACTTTGTTTCTGTTTATGCAGCCCTAGCTACACCTCCCCTGGCTATGATTGACAGAGCCTGCATGAAAAAAAAAACTGGTTTCACTTTCAAACAGATGTAATTTACCTTAAATAATTGTATCTCAATCTCTAAATTGAACTTTTAATCACATACAGGAGGCTCTTGCAGGGTCTAGCAAGCTATTAACATAGCAGGGGATAAGAAAATCTTAATTAAACAGAACTTGCAATAAAGAAAGCCTAAATAGGGCTCTCTTTACAGGAAGTGCTTATGGAAGGCTGTGCAAGTCACATGCAGGGAGGTGTGACTAGGGTTCATAAACAAAGGGATTTAACTCCTAAATGGCAGAGGACTGAGCAGTGAGGCTGCAGGGGCATGTTCTATACACCAAAACTGCTTCATTAAGCTAAATTTGTTCAGGTGACTATAGTGTCCCTTTAATAAATTTCAAGGATTTTACAATTATCATGACAGAAAGTCGAGTATTAGCCCACCCACCCGCTCTCGGGCGGCTCGGAGGTGGGTCAAGGTAAGTTTTCAGACCTCTCCAAGGTAAGTTCAATTTGGCGGTAGTGATGCCATCACATACCTACATCGCTCTAGGACATTATCTAATGATGGGACTTTATTGCCACTGTTGTCCTCAGATTGGTAGTTGCCTCTTACTACTGTTATGAAAGGTTATCACTGTTTAGTCAGTCATTTAGACCTATATATATGCGGACAACCCATAACTTTCAAGAAATTACCATATTTTCTTGTTTCTTTAGCGTGAACTGGTTGAAAGACCTCCTGGAATCACATGCCTTGTTACGGCTCGTTTGGTTTACTTGGTTTTCCTGTTCCGAGTTTGAATTTTCTTCGGGAGTCGCAAGAAAGAGGAAATGGTCATTGTCACGAGCGTGGGCTATAGGCCCAGCCGAGACAGTGGGGAGAGTGTGGAAGTGACAGGGTTAATGACACCAGACCCCTGGTTACCTGTTGCTAGTCCCAGCAACCACTCAATTAACCCCTGCAATCCCTTCTACACTAACCCCCTAGTACACACTTTACTGCCACCACCAAGACTTTAAACCCGAGCGTCTTAGGTTACCCCACACACAGGAGAATTATAGAATCACAGTTCTACTTTTACTGATCAAACACATATAATTAACCCTTTTTGGTAACGTGTTTACCAGAGCTTTCCTCTGGAGAGTGAAGCTCATAGAGAACAGAGACACAAGCTGATTAAGTAAACATTTAATCTGACAAAAAAGATTCACAGTGCTGAGTACAAAATACAGAAATAAATGACATACAGATAACAAATTGCAAAACAGTACATAAAATAAAATAGGAGAAAACACAAGAAATTCCTTACATGTATTCACCCCATATAGAATTCTTGTGGGAATCTTAGATGGTATAGGTCTCCTAGAAGTTGCTGACCAAAGAAAAAATGAATAACTCCTGGATAGCCCAGCACCCTCTAGTTGCCGAGACAGACCATCTGCATTCCCATGCAAGCTTCCCTTTTTGTGCTGGACAGTGAAATTATACTGTATATAAGGCTCCACCAGAGCAGTTTATCATTGTTACCGGACACCTGCAGCAGGTTGTGATCAGTCCATACCACCGCTACATCCTCAACAAACATGCCTGATTTGCCTGTTTCAATTTCCCATCGATCTCTGGTAACATCCCTTAAACCACACCTACTGCGCTCATTATTATTATTATTATTGCCATTTATATAGCGCCAACAGATTCCGTAGCGCTTTACAATATTATGAGAGGGGATTTAACTATAAATAGGACAATTACAAATAAAC